CCCGCTGAGCCAAACGCAAGCCTATTACAGCGGCTTGTAGTTCCATGCGCGGAATAGAAATCGGCTTCAATGGAGCGACTTTACTTTTAGCTGCCACTAACGACACGTCGACCGCGCCACCTCGAAGCACCCGCAAATAGCACACTGCTGCATACGCATATTCGCTAGCATCGACGAATGTGTGAATCTCCACGTCAGTTGCCGCAGTCAAGTTACGTGAGTAGCATCTCGAAATTTCAACTGCTTGCATTAACGGCAACAGCCGCTTCCATTGTCTGCAGTCGCCGCAAAGGGCCTCTGGCAGCTCTTCGTCCCACCCAATGTTGACTCGCCAGACTCGTTGTAAAAGTATCGTGTAGCATGCCAACAATCCCAGTGGGTCGAAAATCGACATCAGCACTTGCAAAACCTCTCGCTTGGTTGGCTTGAGATCTTCTACTAACACTGGTCGTCTTAGCCGAGTGAACCTGAAGACATACTTAAAAACGTCGGTGTGTGGTTCCCAGTATTTAGTTGTACTTTCTCCGTGTCCCCAAACTGGACTGGAGTTTGCGCTTTTACCTCTTCGTCTACTAGCTTTGTAAGGACGTTTGGGGAATTTGACGCCCAATTACGTATTTCGAAACCGCCGGCTCGATGAACCTTTCGAACAAGGTCTGCTACTTCGAAGGCAGCTTCCTCGCTGTCTACGCTATCGATAAAGTCGTCAACGTAGTGCGCCTTTTGGATAGCTTCGAATGCTTGTGGATGCTGCTGTTGATGTTCTTCTGCATTTTTGTTTCGAACGTAGTGCGCGATACATGGACCGCAGCTTATGCCAAAGGACTTCGCCCTTGCTGTGCGCGTTGACAGAACTCGTCTTGTACATGACTGCCGGTGATACTACCGTTGATGCTGCTTCAGCTAACCGATACAGCCAGTCGCTAAATACTAATAATAGATGGAGAACGGTCTTCACGGGGATGCATCGCCCAGCTGAGCTTATGCTGATTGGGCAACTTGTCAACTAACTTCTTCACCAACATCGGGTTGTTCAGGTGTGCTTCAAGCTTACACGTCTCCATCGTTGCAGATATGTTGCGTACGGCCAGCGCGAATTCTATAATAGATTCTAATTTATCCTTGGGCGGTGGAAGTTTTCTTACCTTGTCGATCATTCTATCTAGGATATGCTCTGGTCTACCGAAGAACATTTTTAAAGTGCTGATGACATCGGGGACCATCGTGGGCAAGAGCAGCTTATCCTTCACCAATTCGCGCGCCTTACCCTTAAGGCACCGTTGTAGCCGAAGCATATTTTCGACATGCGAAAATCCCGCCACCGCAGTGCTGTGATCGAACGTGCTGATGAACATTGGCCATTCTCGGGGTCACCGCTGAACGTAGGCAACTCCTTGGGTATTGCTTGTCTAGCCGCTATTTGTGAACTCGTCGGGCCAGTGCTCGCTGCTACTTGCAGAGTTGACAGGATATCTGACGTCGGAGTGCCTGAAGAGTTCATCTGCACGAGAAGCTGGTACTTCTGCTCGATAAAGCGTTCTTCTGCTGCTCTCTTTTCCTCGAGCATGGCCATCATAAGCTGTTGTCGATAACTACCTTCGCTGGAACCATTTTGCGTTGTGATAATTTCATTTATTTATTGTGGGTCTGCGTTCCCCTGAAGATCGGTGTGATTCGATTGAGTGGTACCAATTGCTGAGCTAGCCGATTCCATCACTCTCTGTTCAGGTGTGGAGGCCGTTGATGTAGTTGATTGCTGCATTGTATGTTCGCGAGTGTGTAGTGTCCCTACACTAGAAGCCTCTTTCATACAGGAAGCACAACTCCAGTTACAATATTGCACGCTCTCGTCAACGCCAACACACTCGAAATGAAACCACAGTTCGCAATCGTCGCACTGCACCCAATCTTCGACTCTTTCTTTGTCCGACTTTTTTCCGCAGATATTGCAAACGCACATGCCTTGTGACAAAACTACGAGGTGTGTAATATTTGCCCAAGTGCTTGTATAAATATGTGCCGTGTGCGTGGAAATTTGCCAGTACACCAGAAATTTGGTTCTCTCGGAACTGATGCTTTGGATTTAACTCGATATTTATCCTTGTGAACGCTATCGCCACCGTTTTCTTTACGTGCATCTGGATAACACGCGCTCTCTGCAGACGGTGATCGCGATTCCAAGTGATATTTACCGAGACGCCAGAAATTTTTTAAAGATTTGTTGACGGCGGAGAAAAGAAAAGAATTCGATCTTTTCAGCAGTCTAACTATTTATTTAATTCGATTAAATTCAGTTTCTTTTTTGCAAAATAATTAAGTTAGCGCGAGCAGCTTTAAAAAATTTCGTCTTCTTCCTCTTCTCCGGTGTGTGTTCACAGTCATTTTTCAGGGATGCATTAGGAGAGAAAAATTCTAATATTTCAATGTGGTGAATTTGGTGAAATTGGCGATTTGACGGCAACATTTACCATTTGCAATTGTGTACAAATGCATGGGACGAGTAGAAAAGTTATCTATTGGAGTAACAATGTTTTCATTAACACATTCTCCTACTTCATAAGCCACAAAGTGCTTGTCAAATCCTTTTATTGCAATTTCATTACATGCTATGAATATTTTGTCATTAACTAGCAAAAAAAAGTTAATTTTGTAAAGCTTAAAATCTTTGCAGAGAATGCCAATGTAGTATTTTTGTTTATATATGGAACATTTATAAGTTATTTCATATGATGTTTTTGCTGATTTTATATCAATTCCAAATTCATTGCTTTCAAAGATTTTTAAAAGATCTGGGTTATGATTTTGAAAATAATTTTCTTCGAATTCTTTTGGAACCCCTAAGGAATATTTTAGTAAAAAATAAGAAAATTGGAAACAACTTTTTCGCGCTATACTTTTAGATGGATTCAAGCGTGAAGTTATGCTGTTGAAATAGATTTTAGTATCTTTGTGTTTCGCCTCGAATCTCATTGACCACAAGTATTTCAATGGGCCACCCATTCGTATTGCTTTCGGATAATGTACCATGAAGTGGTGTTTTGGTTTGAGATGTCCAAATAAACGAGCATATGTTTCATGATGTTCTTTGATGAGCTTTGCTAAATAAATCAAATCATTTTCTGAATACTCATCTTTCATAAGAAAATCAAGGACAGATATTAGGTTGAGGAGAGACTTCCAAAATATATTTTCTTTTGGAACGATATCACCTAACATTAATGGCAAATATCTTATAAAGCACAACATTTCAGATGCAGTCATTTTTAGGTTGCATGATTGTAAGTTTTTCTTAGATAAAACTTTTGACACATTGCCAACTTCTAATTCACCATATGGAAATAAATTTTTTCTGTTGTTTAGTAAGTCAATGGTAATTACTTTGGATTCAATAAGGCTTAATAAAATTTTTGAAGTGTCGTACACGCAAACACCTTCTAACATATCATGCATTATATCGAAGGAAACGTTATTAATAACGTGAAAATATCTTAATTTATTCAAGGGACACTCACTTTTGATTCCGGAGTTAATATGTTTTAAGTCATTTTCGTAAGATAGTACTGTTCTGAGGTTGGTTTCTTCTGCACTGATCCTTGTTTCTGATTTAGTATTCTTACAAAATCTGCAAAATCGAATTGAGTTGAAACACTGCGTGTATCTAAGAACATTATTGACAGCGAGGTTATCGCCAATTATAAAATTCAAAACAAATACAACCCTTTTGGATAAAATCGTTATACCACTTTCAAGTATCATTAATTCTTTTATTAAATGATGCAGGGAAATAGTAATGCTCAAGTTTTCAAACTGTCACTAGAAACAAGCGTGGAATATAAAATCTAATTTAGATTGCAAATAAACAGGTAGCGTAGGAAAATTTTAGTAGCATCTACATATTGAATATGTATGCCTTCCCAACGCATTATTTATTTGAAAGTCATCAAAATATAGGTTATATGGAATTATTACGTCCGCATTTGATATTTTGCAAGCAATATTCTTAAATACCTCACCATTGACAACATTTGTATAATTGTTTGACTTCATCATTTGAAGAGTATTTGTCTCAACTATGTCTAAGACAGATGGTAATTCAAAAAATTATTTGATTTGGAAGCTTATTGGCATAATTTCAATACATCTTACTCTTGGCGAAAAAGTGAGAATTCCTTTGGTAAACCCTTCGCTTGTTTTGCTTTCGATAACTACTGATTTGTGGTATTCGTTTTTTCCTTTAATATGCTTTCTTAAACTATGCTCTGATGTCACACTATGGAACGCATTGCAGCAAAAATCAGATAAAAATCGTAAGTTACCCGTTACGGAAAAGCAATCTTTTACTATCTCGTCAATGCATATTGAAATCTTTTTAAACAAACTTAAAAATCTATTTTGAATTACAAGTGCTCCACTTCGCGGAAGTGAGTTTTTTGCATACAAGGAGACGGAAAATTCAAGCACGTCCTCACTTAGTTCTAACAAATTATTTCGGAAAAGTGTATTATTGTGTAAATTATTCGATGAGTGTTGCGATCTGTTTGCATTTGATGTATTTTGAACACTAAAATCGTTAAAATTCGTAGGGGTTTCTTCTGATATATATAAAGTATTTAGACCTGCATTTTTACATTCTTCGTTTTGAATCTTAGATTTTACATTTTGATTATTGCTACTATGTTTTTCAATGTGTTTTTTAAAAGTTTTGAACTGTGAAAATATTTGGTTACAGTTTTCAAATGTACATTTTTTACGATCTTTTTCTGTAAGAAAATGTTGTAATTTTAAATGTTTTACTAGATCGTCGCTAGTTGAGAATACTTTTTCACATATAAAGCAATTATACGTTTTGAATAACAGAATTTATTCCTTCATGAAACTGATAAGAGAGGTAAGAGAAGGCGATTTTATATCAAAAGGTGTTACAATTTCATAGAAGTACATTTGAATAAAAGTCCATGGCAAAGGACATACTTTTGGATACGCAAGGTTAAGTACTTGAAACACTTTAAAAGTTGTGTCAAGAGCATCAATAAATGAGTCGAATTTATGAGTTACTTGATCTAAATATAAATAAAATGCTTTATATTCACCTTCAACAATAATAAAAGGCTGAAGAGTTGTATCATTTACAAAGCTTTTTTCAACTAGCTCTTGAATTTTTTCACGAACATTGGCAATGCATTTGACATGCAGTATAAAAAAATCCTCTGCATCACTTATAGTTGCCTTTTTCTTCTTCTTACCGGATGAGTCCTCGAATCTGAACGAAGGGTGCAGTGTAGAGTTCAGCAACGTAATCAATGTGCAGTCTTCCTTATCTATAAAAAACATTAGGTAATTTTTAAAAATGAAATTTAAAAAATACATACGTTATACTTAAATTATTGCTTTCTATAGCATCCTTTAGAGCTGATTTAGAGAGTTGATTTCGCAAATTTATTTGGTAATATTTACAAATCCTGTTTTTAAATTTTTCAAACTTGGACTTCAGAATATATTGCTTGGAAGGATACAACACGTCAAAGTCAATATTTATCTGTATAAAGCAATTTCAAATGATTGATATGAAAACAGATATTAAAAACATATTACCAAAGAAACTGATCTGCCGTCCAATAACTTCGGCCACTGTTTTAAAAAGTGCACGTTATTTAATTCCTTCAACTCTTTGCGTCGCAGAGGAAACGTCTTGGCCCATCTATCGCATACTGTATCCCAATTGGAGCAGTCACGTTGCCATTCTGTTTTAAGACCAGATAAAATCCTTTCGTCAAACTCTGGAGATTCGGAACATTTAGAAGACTCAACGATCGTAGCCTCAGCCGAAATAGTGCTAAGTCTTTTACGTTTGTAATAAAGGTTTACGTATTTTGAGTACAATTTTCCGGATGGGCTACCACCAACTTTTCTTTTAATGTAATAATAGTCCTGCAATTTAAGAAATGAAAATTAACTGTATATCTCTTATAATATCAAATAACAAAAATAGGATTCTCTTACCAGATATTCCTTTTCACCTGGAAAAAACTCTCCAATTTCTTTTACTATGTCCAAAAAGTGGTTTGTTCGCAATTCTATGTTGTGCTCAGCTGTGTAGCTACAAATTGCATTTATTAGTTTACAACGCTGACTTTCAGTTAGCCTGGGTGTTTTCTCGTCATCTGAACGCAATGAAATAAGTGATCGACCATCAGGACTTTCACGAAGCACTTCATCTAGCAAAAACTTTAAAATGATACAAGTATTATATGTATTATGGAATATGTCGTCACCTGAAATGCAAAGAGATGTAACAAACATCGTCACTAAAATGGAAAAAGTCGTGACTAATTTTTTTTCGTTAAACGAAGAAATCCATCATATCAATCAAAAATGAATTTTGAATTTTTTATTAGTTATGACTTTTTACATTTCAGCGTCGATGTTTGTTACGTCTTTTTGCATTTTCACTTTAAGAAAAATAAAACACCTTGTTGGTCCAATCTGAAATCGTTTTTTTAGGTCTCGAATGCTTTTGTTGTCGCCAAAGTTTTTCCCTGCACTCCGCCCGTTCGCCTACACTTTTAACAGCATCTGAGATATCCGCATCGTTTAGGTATTGCAGTCTTATGTAGGTTATGCCAGCGTCTAAAACGGAATCAATAATAACTCACTTTGTTAATAATTAAAAGTATACACACATACCAGATAGTTCCTTAAATAAATTTTCTTGGTTAAATTGAACCAGTAGCTCCTTCAGCTTCTCACACATTTTGTGCGCAGCGACGCCAATTATTTAACTGAACTTCAGATTTAAAAATCTTATTCTTAGCTTCACTCAGTGAAAGCAACGAAGTAGGCTACGGTGCGCTTCGTTGTTGTTACTGCTTTTGTTTCCCAACATCGAAGTAGGCTTTGCTTTGCTTCATTGTTGTTATTGTTTTTCTTCTCATTGCACTGCTCGCGTTGGCTGAACATTCGAGATGGCTATTAGCGATTCTACAATAGGTGCATTCTTTTGTAACCGAGCTACAAAAGAACACTCGCTTAAATTACGAAATACATGCAAAGCAACAACACAAACTCGGCTATTTATCCGAGTTCAGCCAGGTCGGTTAAAAAATACGCGACCTGAAGGGTAGTGTTGTTAAGTGAAAAATCTGTTCTATTGTGAATTGTTAATGGGAAAATGGAGAGGGAAATTTTTGTTTCCTTATATACATGACTTATATTTTAAATAAGTATATATATTACGCAAATACCTCTTATAATTAATAATTTTCATAGGTTTTTGTATCTAAATCCAGTTAAACTAATCACGTGTTTCTCGTCAGTTACCAACAGGGTTGTTTAAGTAGCTAAAAGGAAATTTTACCCGAGTTTAGCGTTCTCTTGTCGCTCGCTTACAAAAAAATGCACCTAATAGCGCAGTGGCAGTGGCAGTTTTTCGAACTATTACTGCGTGTTAAAAACTGTCACTGCCACTGCCACTGCGCTATTGTAGAATCGCTATATGATTTTTGCTAACGGGATTTAATTTTGCTTATTCACAAGTATACATACATACGTACATAGTAAATGCATAGTAGATGCAGACATTCATGTGTACATATGTATGTATGTATGCTCATTTATAACGAACCAGGGATGGAATTTAAAATTTCAAAATGTGCCTAATGGACTGGAAAAATAGTGCCGAAAAGAAGATGAAAGTACCACAAAATTAAAATTGCTTTCTTTTAAGGCTTTTTAAGAGCAATATTTAAAAAAAAAAGTAGTGAAATTATTTATTGAATTACACTGTTCGGAAGTCAGCTTGGGAATTGATGAAAGCAAGTTTTTCTGAAACATTGGATTGTATATGGAAAAGCAATTTCTCAATTTGCCCAGGTTGGCGATTTTAAGATTTTTTTTTCAATTTGAAATTGGTAGTCGCAGACGTTTAAAATGTTTAAAAGTGTTTAAAAAGAAAATATTCATACCATCGAAATACTTTTCTAGGGATATTCGGCCACGAGGAATCTGAATCTGCAGTTTATTTTTTATCAAAAGGCGTTTATTTTTACCAAAAACACTGCGGCTGCTGGTTGAGAAGCATTGTTTGCACTTTTCCTTCATATTCCTTCCATGTTTTTTTAAACTAAAGCGCCCCCTAGCGGCCGTGTTTGTTAAAAATAAATTACAAGCCCAGATTCTTCGGCCCGAAGTCGGCAAAAAGGTCTTTTGTGTGTATAAATATTTGTATTTTAATCACTATTAATTGTTTTAAATGCTACACTGCGACCACCAACTTGAAACTAGAAAAGGGCTTAAAATCGCCAACATGGGAGAACTGAGAAATTTCTTTTCTATATACAATCCAGACTTTCAGAAAAACTTGGTTTCATCAATTCCCCAGAATTCATAGTAAAATAACACAATATTCCAATTACGAAGGGAGAAAACACGGAAGTATAGCTATTCGGGCATGTTCATCTATATATCTATGTGCAAAATAATAGCAGTTCGGCATTTTGACCAGTTTTGACTATTCTTCTTTACATTGATTATTTTTTATTAGTTTCATAAAACAGTCCTTTTAATGTTTAAGTGATTTTAATTTTATGATTGTTTGTTAAATATTGCCATTTTATGCTAAATTTCTGTAAGTTATGATTGTGACATAACTGAATGAATTGTGCCGAAAGTGCCTCTGCGAATGAAAGTGCCAAAAATGGCACTATTGTGCCTACTTTTCCATCACTGAAACGAACGCGCGAAACTGCGTTGGCAACAGTTAGCTGAGCACATCTATGCTCAAAAAGTGATGCCAGACCATGTATTAAGTAAATGCACAATGTATATTTTTCTATTAGAGCGAAAGTTCTAATGGGCGGACAGGTTGATTTTTGTTTATTATATATAACACTGATAATATTCATATACTTATCTAGCAACTTAATTAATATAATCAATATTCTTTGTATTTATATTCCTCATATATCCTACTAGACTTGGAAAAATTCCCAATATCCAAATCTCTCATATGAGTTATTATCGGTAAAAATTTTGTGTACGCTCACTTCTGGCATCACTGAAAGAAGTGCTTTTCCACGCTCAAATAAGGATGCCAGACCATGTTTTAAATGAGTAATTGTCACATATGTGTATTTATCTATGCATTTCTATAGAATTTATACTTGTGGGCGGAGTTGATTTTCGGTTTCTACAAAAAATACTGATAATATTCGTACAACTATAGATATTATTGACATAACCCACATTATTTTTAAAAACAAAATACGTATATTTCCAAATCAGGTTAAAACAATCCCCAATGTCCTAATCCCTCAAATGAATTCATATTTGTAAAAAATATTGTACTACTGGCATCACTGCCTACAAGTGTTCTATCACAAATAAAATCTCACTATTCTTTTGACTTCGTTTTGCCCCCTTCTGATCATTTTTTCTTCCTCGCACCAGCAGTCGTCAGCGTCACTAATTTACAACGCTCGTATCAGACTAAAATACATTAATTTTAAATTCAAATTTGAAAATGTATTTCCACCTAAAGTAGTAAATTTTAATGCTAAAGTATCAAACAATAAATTCATAACATTTTTCTTAATATTACAACGCGTNCTTTACAACGCTCGTATCAGACTAGAATACATTAATTTTAAATTCAAATTTGAAAATGTATTTCCACCTAAAGTAGTAAATTTTAATGCTAAAGTATCAAACAATAAATTCATAACATTTTTCTTAATATTACAACGCGTTTTTTTTTCTCAGTGTAGGGGTTCATTTGAGATCAACTTCTCAAATTTGATCGTCGCTGACTCGGAGTAAATTGATATGAGTTGTTGCTTCAATTTGTCAATTCCTTCACTTGCAATTCGACTTTGCTTGATAAGTTGGCAACTGTGTGCAAATACTTCGATTTGTTTGAGGTTTTTTTGGTTAGACAAACCAAAGTTCCGGGTCGTTTTCATAAAACTGCGTGAATTTTACTTCCGATATCGATGTGATTTGGCTTGCTGCGGATGCATTGCTCTGCTCTGCTGATTGTTGTGCGCCAAACGCCAATACCTCGTTTAGTTGAATTTTAAGCGACTCAATTTCTTTTGAGAGCTCTTCGTTATCAGGCATTTTATTATCATTCACGCCCAACTTAGGTTTTTTAGAAAAATGCTTTAATGCGGGGTCACCACTTTTGGTGCGTAAATGATAACACAGTGTTTTATGCAATGTATAAAACTAATTTAATGGATGAACTTTGATTTTGTATACAATACAAAATGCGGTACGCTATCGAGAAAAAAAAGATTCTCCAGCGGAAGTTCGAGTCCAAAAAGTAACAGCTCACGTTGTAAAAAATGTCAGTATCATTATTGCGAATGACCACTTATCGGGAGTTGCCATATCAATAATGTTGCGATGACCACTTGTTGGGGATTGCAACAATGTAAATCGATGTGTGTTTGCAAGCAATATTGGTGGTGTTCATTTAAACAGATAAATTTGCCTTTCGCATATACGTATATTTTTATCCACTGCTTTATATAAACGAGCAAAAAAGAATATTTGTTGCCCTTATCGAGAAACTTGGGTCCGGTTTAGTTAATGTACAAGGATTTTCGGTTGTTGTGTCCAAACGCATAACCCGAATCCAAAAAGTTTAACATACACGTGTAATCAAAGGATTCACATTTTATACAAGATAACTGTTTCAAATTTCCTACCACTAGCTTATTAATAAACTCGGTTTGCATATGCACTCTTTTGCAAATTTCGACGTGGGTTCTGCGCAAAAATACCGTGGACGGCGTAGCCGGAGTGATATGCACAAGAAAATGTTGTATACCTTTGACATGCGGGGGCTTCTCCGGCAACACAGAAAGGAGAATTCTACTTAGTAAGGGTTATAATCCCTAAGCGCGGCCGAAGGCAGAAGCAAATGCAACAGGTGGTGGACCTAACAAAGTGCATGTTTTCAATGGCTTGGAAGAAGCTGTTATTGCATTAATTGGATTAAGAACCAGTTCTTCAGGCATAGGAGTAGTTCTGGCTTGTGGTTCAACAATTCAACCAGATGCTGACATAGATGCGCCCATGGTTACTATGCCCGACAGCTCCGCATACCTTTGTGAATCCATTGCCATAGCGCCCGCTTACTCTGCTGCTATAATTGCAAATACATCAGAGTCCATAATTTTCCTTAAAATATGTAAAATTAACCAATTTTACAATAAACAAGCACATGATGAGTGTTTTTTAATTCCTTTCCACTTTGTTTTCCTTCATTCAGCTATCTTCGAAAAACAACTAATAGCTGGCAATGCTGCATATGTTTCCGCAAGGGTTGCAGCATGTGGATTTTTCGTTTTTACGAATTACGAAAATTCGAGTTCTAGAATAAGGGCGTATAATTGTGAGTTTGTGAATTTGGATGTTTGTGGCTCAATCACGTGGAAACTACGGAACAGATTAGCATGAAATTTGGCAAACAGAAGTTGGCGTACCGAACCAAGTGGGCATTTGGTAGTATATATGTATGTACATACGTATGCAAACGAAATCCTACCATAAGTACGACTTTTGTGAACAACTTTTTCGTAAAAATCTTTATTTTAAATATATGCTTGTACATAGAAACCGCATATTTTGCATATGAACTAAATTGGACCATAATTAAGCCTTTGGGAAATGATATGTGCTTACATGTATACATATAAACTAAATAATATGGTTCTGCGAAATCTTAGCAAAAATAATTAGTCACGCGGTAATTGCAATTCAAGTTGAACAGATCAAACGTGTTTTTAAGAATAAACAACTAGTCAAATCGATTCAGTAGTTCTTCGTCTAAGCCTTGACATACCTACATTTTTTATATGTGACAGGGAAAGTTAACAGGGGTCGAAAAATCTATTACACACAGATACATATATGTAGATAAAAATTAGCAATTTTGGGTTATGAGGTATTGCTTAAAAGACCACTTCTGCAATTTCGATTTATACATGTACACATACCTA